CTGTGTAGGCATATTTAGAATCCTTTTTGGCAAACACATAGACTGTGTTTGTTGCCATTTTTTCTTGCGCAATCAGAACCTTTTCCGATCCATTAATAATGAAGTAGCCACCAGGATCCAAGGGGCACTCGTTTAACTCACAAAGATCACGATCTGTTAAGCCATTCAATAGGCAATAAGTTGAACGCAACATAATTGGAATTTTTCCTATACAAGTTTTCTGATACTGAGTCTGAAGTTGTTCTTGGCCTTTTTTGGTGACTGTTTTTGTGATATCAACATAAAGTGGAGCAGAATACGTGAGATTTCGTAACCTGGCCTCATTTGGCATCAGTGGTGAAGGAGTACCATCTCTTTCCCAGTAAGTAGGCTTGGAGAGATAAATTTGTTCAAACTTCAGCGAATATCTTGGCGGTTCTTCAACTTCTCCACTAGCATGCTGAGCTTCAGCTTGCAGGTCTATAGGTGGAGCATCTTCCACAATTCTTTGAACAGACATCTGAATAAACTCATCAAAAGAATCCAGCTGTTGTCTGACCAAGCCTTTCTCATCAAAATAGGAACTGATTACAATCCAGCATGCTTCTTGCCACAACTCTGGGGTGATTTCATCATCATGCTCGTCATATTGCATATCCTCGTCTGCGTCGTACATCGTGGCAAATTGTTGGGGCCCAGCACCAGCAGGTCCAGGGGTGCCCAAAGGTGTGGACGGAGTCGGCGAAGAAGGAATGACACGGAGACAACGTTCAGTTGATCAGCAGCCTGGCCAGGATCTCTAGCCAGGATCTCCAGCCAAGTTCTGTCTGGGTTCTCCAGCCAGGTTCTGAGATGATTGTCTTCTTACATCTGTATTTATACCAGTTGATTTTAATCCTATCCATTTCTATTCCAAAGATTAGGGCGTTTCTTATCTCCATTCCAGGGAGTAAAGATTATGTAGCTTAAGCGTGATTGTTCGTAGTTAAAGTGATTAACTACCCGCCTGGCACTTAGTTAAGGGGTTTTATCTCCTCCCTAACTTCAGGGAAAAATTCCTACCTGGGGAGAGGTGACCTTGGTTAAAACACATAGCGCCAAGAAGGGGAGCAAACATATTAAGAACAGTATGCCATATACGCCAGGTCCCTTGAGACATATGCTGTGCAGATGTTTCTTCCCTGCAGCGACTGTGTCAAGCAGCAAGGATGGACCGGTTTCCAGCATCAGACAAATGCCCCTGACTCATGGATCTTCTGTTCCAGGTGGGAAGACAGACACCAACACAATAAATAACAATACAGAGTCTGCCGGACGGTGATAAGGACCGAGGAGAGACTTAGAGTAGGGTGGGCACAGGGGCATTGGGTGGGGATGGGGCGGGGGGTGCGTTAGAAAAGGCAGCCCAAGAAGCTGACACTTGAGAGCGTGTTCTCTTAGTCACTGCAGCCAAGTTTCACCTGCCCTTTGTCTCCCAAACAAACACCCTTCTCCACAGCAGAGTGGAAAACCTGCCGCCTTTCCCTTTAGGCTGGTTTGTGCAGGTCTAACTGTCTCCCCATCCAGCGGTGAGCTGCTGGCAGGCAGAGTCCAGCAGGTTTGTCTCTGAGCCCACAGCACCCAGCACAGGGCAAGCAGCCAGGGAGGCTCAGTGAATAAGTGCATGAAACAAATCAGTGAACAGATGAGTGGGTGGGTGGGTGTGTGGGTGGGTGGGTGGAAGGATGGAAGGATGGATGGATGGATGGATGGATGGATGGATGGAGAGGTGGGTGGGTGGATGGATGGATGGATGGTGGATCGCTGGGGTGGGTGGATCAATGGATGGATCAATGGATGCAGGGATGGATGATAGATGGACACACAGGTGAATGGACCTTGGGCAGAGTCTGCTGTTCACACCTGGCTTGACCTGACTCAGTAGATGGTAAAGCCCTCTGGTAGCTGGGGAGACTGGGATCTTAGCGGGGGAGTGCCTCCCATGGTTTGAGGGGATACCCAAGCTGGGTTTGGCTCCTGGCTCCACCTCCCCCAGCTGTGTGATCTGGGGTCAGTGGAGTGACCTCTCTGAGTCTTGCATGGATGGCAGGAGACCACCTCTCCCGATGGGGAGTGTCATTACTGTTAGCAGTTAGGCATGCTTTAGGCCTCTTCCTCCTTCAGCCACATGTTCCGCCCCACCCAGCCCCAGCAAGGAGGCCAGGCCGTCCTCTAGAGGGAGACAGACATCACACAAACAGCTCCAGCCTGGACCCAAACGAAAGGAAGGAGGACGCTGGCGCTGCTGGCCCTGCTGGGCTCAGGGCCAAGCTGGTCCGGGCGCCCTGGGGGAACCTGACAACCCTAAATGCATCTCACAGTTTGTAACAAAAGGAATAACTGCAAGTTCTTTTTAAAATCCAGGCGGCAGAGACGCAGCCACCACAGACAGTGAGAGCCGCCAGCCCAGGCCGGACCGTCTTCCTGCAGCAGGCCGGCATGTTTCCACTTTCCTATCTTTTGGCGATTTGCTTCTTTTCCTTATCTCTGTGTCTGGTTCACCCTGCCACTGCGGCACCTGCAGACCTACTTCCGGCTCAGCCCCAGGGCTGTGGCTGCGGTGGACAGAGGAGGGCCAGCCTCTTTCTCCGTCTGTCTGTGTCCTGCTGTGTCTGAGGCCAGCCCCCGCCTTCTCCTGACCTCGCCCATTCTCACTTCCCGGAGGTGCCAAGGCCCAGCACCTACCAGCTCAGCCCAGGGTTCAGGTGAGGGCACACTGCCCTCCTCTGGCCAGTGGCCTCAGGTGCCTGCTCACACTGCCTGTCCGCCAGGGACAGCGTGGTCATGCAGCCATTCTCCACCCATGCGAAGTGGGAGCCCCGAGAGAGGGCACAGGGGGGCCAGCTCACTCCAGCCCCCAGTGCCAGCCCCAGGTTGGCCCAGAGGGTGGACTCCGTGAGACCTGTGCGTCGCACGAACAACTGAATGCACAGCCAGCACGCACTGTGTCCGGGACACTTGGCTGAGCTCCTTCGGCCTGGCCCTCGTGTCCTGACCAGCCCCGACTCCAGTTGGGGACCACGCCTTTGGTCCTCTGGCCAGTTAGGGACTCCCCCAGGCAGGCCCCCCTTAGTTCTATTTTTAGACTGGAAGCATTTGCCAAGTGTCTATTTATATCGCTGCCCATCTTGGGTTTCTGGTCACCTCATCTGGCAGAGCTGGCCTCCCTTTGGCCTCTTGGCCCGGCCGGCCGAGTGGGTTCAGAACGGCCCGGAGCACCGGGAGGGAGGCCCCCAGCGCGCCTGGACAGGTA